TCCTTGATTCACGGACGGCGCGTTGCTTGTGATATGCACTAATTAGTAGTGCATAAGTGTATGTTTTTATGTTTGATTTGTGCGTATTGTTTATCGTTTTATTTAGTTTATAAACATTTGTGTGATTTTAGTTGTAATTGTATTTTAGTTCTCATTTGTAAGTTGTAAAGTAGAGTTAGGATTTATGGTGTTGGAAAGGAAGACTTTGAATGTGAAGAAAAATAATTCTTGGCTGCCCAGGACAATCACCCGGTCGGGTGAGGTATTGCACCCGGTCGGGTGAGAAATTTAAATGCGAAACTGCTCAGGAAATTACATCACCCGGTCGGGTGAGGTATTTCACCCGGTCGGGTCCGACTTGACCCGGAACACCAGAACGTGCCGAAGATCGCCAGAACGTGGAAGATATTTGATTTTGACATGCACCCGGTCGGGTGGGCACTTTACCCGGTCGGGTACCCGGCCAAAGGTGTTGAAAAACACCTATAAATAGCCCCATTTTCCTTCACTTTTAATAACTCCTTCTTCCATACTCCTAAGCTCAGTTTAGAATAGTATTTCTTTTATATTTTTATAGCATGTTTAGTCTCCAAATGAGGAGCTAAACTTCCATTTCTTGGTGTTGCTCTTGAAGCTTGTTGATTATTAAAGTTGTGAGTTATTTTCTTAACTTCTTCCCTTGAATATTAATTATTCTCTTAATCTATCTATATATTAATGTTGGGGAGTGTTGCTAAGATGACAATTAGTTAACATCTCGACATTAGTTATAGTAGTATTTATTTTCTTCCTCTATATATTAATGTTGGGGAGTGTTGCTAAGATGACAATTAGATAACATCTTGACATTAGTTATAGTAGGATTATTCATATTTAATCTTCTTCCTTGAATATTAATTCTTCCCTTAATCTATCTCTATATTAATGTTGGGGAGTGTTGCTAAGATGACAATTAGTTAACATCTCGACATTAATTACTACTAGAAACGATCAACGAACCGATGGTTAATCGTTGATGGTTTCACAAGTAAGTAACTTCGGTTTATTAATGCACGGTCGTGGTTAATAAACTTAAGAGGGATTAATTTTGTTGGTTAAACCGAAACCGTTGTGTTGAGGTTATCAATCTCAATTGATTTCATCAAGGAGTTAAGAGATTAAATGCTACTATTAAGTCGGTATATGCCGGTGTTCTATACATGACTAATAGTAAGGGTTATTAATGAACGGTCGTTGTTAATAACTACCCTCGATGAATTGGATATACTCCTCGATTGAGTATTCGAGAGGGGATTAGTTATAGATATAACAATGATCGACTAAAATATATCAACAAGTGGAAAGTAGCAATGCCAAGTCCTTTTTATCTTTAAATTAAGTTGTTCATCTTTATGTTTAATTAAGTTAAATCATTCAATCCCAAAACCCCCCTTTTTATTTACTAGTTTTATAAAAAGAGAATTATTCCTTTCCCTGTGGATACGAACTCTACTACGCTATACTACGTATAAGTGTTAGTATTGAATTTATTTTGACGCACCGTGACAAAGTGCTCGTCAAATTTGGCGCCGTTGCCGGGGATAGGCAATTATTTTTCTTTTTATTTTATCTCATAAAAATCAAAAACAAAAAAAAAATCTTACTTTTCTATTTTCTGAGCTTACATGAGTATATGGATACCAACATATCATCCCTAGAGAGGCAAATTTCCGTCTTAACTTCTCTAATAAAGGAGTTTATTTCATGTTCAAAATCTCAAGATGTCCATACATGCAACATTTGCATGTCACACAGACATCTTACGGATTTTTGCCCAGAACTTAAAAAAGAATACTTTGAACAAAGGAATGATGTTGGTTTCCAAGAGAGGTATGATTCATTCTCCAACACATATAACTCATACTCAAGTTCTTATTCTAACATGTCAACTGAAGACATGATCCGAGCTCTCACTATCAATGTGACAAATATGCAACAAAATATGTCATAATGCCCGCAAGAAACAATGTCCAACGAACAGAACTTGGACAATCAAGTGAAACAAATGCCAAGCATTGTGAACCACATGGGCGAGGAGGAGGAAGAAGAGGAACTTACGGAGAAAACTCAATCGGGGGAAGAACCTCAAAACTCAACTCAACCACCGGCCATTCCTGAGATCATGCCATCATTTCCTGAGGCTCTAAATGAAACACAAAAGGTAGAGAAGGACAAAGATATCTATGAAATCTCCAGCAATTGTGAGTATAATTTAGACTTCTCTTTGTGCACAAATAAGCAAGGGATAACGGTGGAGTTACACAAATATTTCCTACTCCCTCTTATACCAGCCAGATCAAAACCCCTTCCATTGATCATGCTTAGTGAAAATCATGGACTCTCACTCTCACAATATGAAGCGATAGAAAACCGGATATTTGATCCCGGAAAGATTTTCAAAATAAGGGGTCGAAAAATTGAGTCTTTCTATAAGAGTCACCCGGGTGAAAATTTGAGGAAGATGAGTTATCACGATCCAAGCTTGAACGATTGAACACAATGATGGCGTCGTGCCGCGACGTTAAACGAGGCGCTTCTTGGGAGGCAACCCATGTAAGGTACGTTTACTTTTTGTTCTAGTTTAAATTTACACTTCAAAAAAAAAAAAAAAAGTGAAGCCTGGGGAACATACCCGGCCGGGTACCACACTACACCCGGTCGGGTATAGCGTAAAAATACCCTACCCGCACAACTCGCCCGGGTGAGGCAGCCGAGGAACAGAGAAAAATAGACACACCCGACCGGGTAGACCCCTATACCCGGCCGGGCAACCCTGCAAAAAAACTCTCTGCCTCGGGTGAACAGTTTACGCCCGACCGGGTCAGTCACTATACCTGACCGGGCGGTCGGGAAAAATCCCGATCAGGAGGCGGGCGGGCAGCTTCTTCCTCACTTTCTTTTCCCCATTCGAACCAAACCCCAAATTTCCTCCATTTCCAAGAGTCCAAAGCTTCATATCTCCTACATCCATCCACCAAATGCATCAAGTAAACCCAATTCATTCATCTCCTTTTCACCCTCTTCATCTCCATACCCACAAATCACCAACAAAACCTCCCAAAAGTACCCAAAAAAAAAACGCATTCATCTCAGACACAAGCACTAAGGACAGTGCTTTGATTAGCTTGGGGGGAGAGTTTTATGGAAAACTCACATTCATACTCTATATTCTTGTATTTATTTTCAAAAAAAAAAAAACTTGTTAAGTTGAAAACCTGAAAAGGCAACTTAAGCAAAAATAAGGCAAAAATAAGAGTGAGTTGTGAGGATTAAAACAGAAAAATGTGGGAAGCTGGGATGAAAACCCAAAAGGGCACCTAGGCAAAATGAGAGAATGAGAGCAAGTATTTTCCTTTTGCAGGATCCTAAGGGTAACGGGAAAAAAAAAGAATTGAGGTTGATAGAAAATATGGAGTTGAAGATCCCTCTTTACTCTTATATTTTTGGGGATACTTTTGTATTGTTCTAAATACACACTTGGATGTTTGAGTTGATACTCTTGTCATTTAAGAACTTCTTGGACATGATTTGGTTTACTCGAGACGAGTAAAGGTTCAAGTGTGGGGGTATTTGATATGCACTAATTAGTAGTGCATAAGTGTATGTTTTTATGTTTGATTTGTGCGTATTGTTTATCGTTTTATTTAGTTTATAAACATTTGTGTGATTTTAGTTGTAATTGTATTTTAGTTCTCATTTGTAAGTTGTAAAGTAGAGTTAGGATTTATGGTGTTGGAAAGGAAGACTTTGAATGTGAAGAAAAATAATTCTTGGCTGCCCAGGACAATCACCCGGTCGGGTGAGGTATTGCACCCGGTCGGGTGAGAAATTTGATTTTGACATGCACCCGGTCGGGTGGGCACTTTACCCGGTCGGGTACCCGGCCAAAGGTGTTGAAAAACACCTATAAATAGCCCCATTTTCCTTCACTTTTAATAACTCCTTCTTCCATACTCCTAAGCTCAGTTTAGAATAGTATTTCTTTTATATTTTTATAGCATGTTTAGTCTCCAAATGAGGAGCTAAACTTCCATTTCTTGGTGTTGCTCTTGAAGCTTGTTGATTATTAAAGTTGTGAGTTATTTTCTTAACTTCTTCCCTTGAATATTAATTATTCTCTTAATCTATCTATATATTAATGTTGGGGAGTGTTGCTAAGATGACAATTAGTTAACATCTCGACATTAGTTATAGTAGTATTTATTTTCTTCCTCTATATATTAATGTTGGGGAGTGTTGCTAAGATGACAATTAGATAACATCTTGACATTAGTTATAGTAGGATTATTCATATTTAATCTTCTTCCTTGAATATTAATTCTTCCCTTAATCTATCTCTATATTAATGTTGGGGAGTGTTGCTAAGATGACAATTAGTTAACATCTCGACATTAATTACTACTAGAAACGATCAACGAACCGATGGTTAATCGTTGATGGTTTCACAAGTAAGTAACTTCGGTTTATTAATGCACGGTCGTGGTTAATAAACTTAAGAGGGATTAATTTTGTTGGTTAAACCGAAACCGTTGTGTTGAGGTTATCAATCTCAATTGATTTCATCAAGGAGTTAAGAGATTAAATGCTACTATTAAGTCGGTATATGCCGGTGTTCTATACATGACTAATAGTAAGGGTTATTAATGAACGGTCGTTGTTAATAACTACCCTCGATGAATTGGATATACTCCTCGATTGAGTATTCGAGAGGGGATTAGTTATAGATATAACAATGATCGACTAAAATATATCAACAAGTGGAAAGTAGCAATGCCAAGTCCTTTTTATCTTTAAATTAAGTTGTTCATCTTTATGTTTAATTAAGTTAAATCATTCAATCCCAAAACCCCCCTTTTTATTTACTAGTTTTATAAAAAGAGAATTATTCCTTTCCCTGTGGATACGAACTCTACTACGCTATACTACGTATAAGTGTTAGTATTGAATTTATTTTGACGCACCGTGACAAAGTGCTCGTCAGCTTGCGCTTGCTCCCCCTTGCCCCCTGGACGCTTGTGAAGTCCCGGCTTGATTCCGTGTCCCGGTATTACCACTACTTGGCCCTGATGCCCTCGTCCCGCCCAGTTGTGGGCAGCTCATCTTCATGTGACCCGTGCTCCCGCATTGGTAGCATCTAGGAGGGTCACGACATTTCCCCGGGTGGTTCCTCTTGCAATTCTTGCAACGAGTCACCCCCGAGGCTTGTGATTGCCCGCCCGGGCCATGACTTCCCCTAGGTGGCAGTGGGGGTGTCCGAAAAGATCCCCCTCCCCCATGGTTCCCCTTTTTGCTTGGACCTTGATGTCCATGGTTCTCCCACTTCCTCTTCTTTGCCTCTTCGGCGTTCTTCAACTTTCTTTCCTCCCATTCTTTCTCTCCTTTTAACCCTTGCTCGACCACTTGGCTAAAAGTCATGTTAGGCAACTGTCTTGCCCTCTCACGCACCTCCAGGTCTAAGGCATCCCAGAAGTGATTTACCATCCGGTTCTCGTCACACACATACTCCGGTATGAACTCCGCGAGCTCCCTGAATTTGTGTTCAAGTTGCCTCACCGTCATTTTGCCCCCTTGGGTCAGGAGGGTATACTCTCACCTCTTGGCGTTCACCTCAAAATCAGAATAATATTGGGCAAAGAACTCCTGTCGGAAATTCTCTCAAGTCACCGTGTTGCCATACTTTCCCTTGGCTCCGTCCCACCATGTGGATGCCATCCCTTCGAGCAACCTCACCGCCACCCTTAGCTTAAACTCGGGGGTGAGTTGCATATCAAGGGCTGCTTCGTTCAGCCTCTTGATCCATTCCGCGGCGACCGAGATGTCACCCGCTCCGTTGAAGGGTTTGCACCCCAAGTCTCGTGCCTCCTTGAGGTATTTGGAGATCCTTATGATCGGACCTCCATCACCCCGGCCCCCATGTGGTTCAATGTGGGCCCTAGAGTCGCCATGGCTTCTTCCTCTTGAAGCCCCACCCGAAGTTCGCCCTCCTCGGCGCCTTCGGCGTTCCCTCCTTCCCTCGCGCTCCCGCTGGTATTGCTGGAGCAGCGCCTCAATTCTGGCTAGGGAGTCATTCTCCCCTTCTTCATCACTTATATCATCGTCATCCCCTTCGTAAGGGGTCTCAACCGGCTCGGTCTCCGGTTGGTAAGTCGAGTCCTCATAGGACCAGTGGGTTTCACTTTCTGTGTCAACATGACCGTCACTCACGGTCTGTGATCGGCCTCCACGGCCAGCTCCTCTAGATGCCTTAGAGGTCCTTCGACTGCCCTGTCCAGTCTCCACTGGTACACGGCCCGTCGGGTTTCTCCTAGTAATCCTGCCACCACGGTCCATTTCTGAAAGAAATTTGGAAGGAGTCGTTAGACTCGTATCAAATGTCAATTGACGGATAGGTACTTAAGACACATTTTGGCTCGAGTCACCGCCATACCAATTGCTAAGGGTACCATCTTAACAATTAGAGACCTTGCAACCCAAGTACCAAAAGCTCTCCAAGTACAAAACTTCTATGCTCATGGTTTTCAAAATATTTTCAAAAAGAGAATTTTGAGACTTCATTATGAAGTTTATGGACTAAGGCTCTGATACCAACTTAATTGTCACGCCCCGGACCTCCCCGGACACGTCAACAACCCGCCGTACAATATGAATAGTCAACCGCAGTCCAACACGTTCATATTATACAAGGCGTCTAGAATATCACTCACACGCAAGCCATCCATAAACAACATAATAAGCAATCGAATACGTAGCGGAAAACATAGTTTGAAAACAAATGCCACACGTGGCTAACATGAGCACGCAGGCTCTATAGTAAAATATTCATGAGCATGTTTGTTAATGTTTAAAAAAACGAATGGAGGAAGCACGAACCAAGTCTTCCCTCCTAGATGATCTCTCGAGCAACGAGCACAGGAAGCAAGCTCTAGCCTCAACCTGAAAAATGGTGGTGGGACGCCCCCGAAGGGGTCAGCACTCTATAGGGCTATAAAGTGCTGGTGTGGATGGCATCTAATAGATATACAACAAGTATTTCAAACACAAGACCCTCAAATAGGGTGATAATATAATCTAGGCCGTAACCCCAAGTTACCCCGTTTTTAAAATATACTTACTTTATATATAAAGTCAAGTTGTCGGCCCGTAGGCCCAAGGTTTGTTTATCAAACATAGCCCAAACCCCGTGACCCCTAGTCACAACAATATATAGGGTTCAACCCTAGCACATATATTTGCATTCTCGAGTCCAACTCGACTACATCACCATGCACCTTATTTAACACAAGTTAACTACTCCACCGTGCATTTCTTGAGTCCAACTCAACTACATCACCATGCACATCAATCACCACATCATGTCTACCCAATGCAATTCTATGAGCACGGGCTCAAGTACATCTCCTTACATTGGCATAGACCCCAATTCCTAAGCACTCACTATGCCTAGAATTGTAATATCAATAATCTATTTTGGGACATCCCTACGGACTGCCCAACCATGGTCTTAGCATCACATTACATCAAATTTGTCACTTGCATCACAATCAAGTACATCAATTATAATCAAATCCTTAGATTTAATCCCCTTAACAATTACAACAATCATTAACTAGTATTTCAATACTATTAAGATTATTCTTATCTATCATATACTCCATTTGTATAATCCTACATATTTAGAGATATGTAGCAGCAACTTAATCATTCAATGCAATACATAAATAATCATTTGTGTATTCATACAATTCACACATGGATGAAATGACTATTTCACCCAATAGTTCATTTAACTCCATTTTTATCAATCCTTTACCAAATCATTTCTCATTTCATTCTTTGGAAAGTAGATCAATATTTCATCAATAATTTATCATCATAATCCATGGAAAACATTATTTAGGCATTTAGGTAATCTCATGCTTAACCTACAAGTTGTAAGCAACTAGATGTCGATCCTCACCTCAAATGAGCTTTAAAACCTTCCTTCTCGATCCAATGGCTAAAGCCTCGGCCAAGGAAGCTTGAGAACTGATTCCTTGCTTAGAAATGGGTGCTAAACAGCCTCCTCAAGTTGCTATTTCAACCCCTAATCGTTGATACGAAAACAGCCCCTAGAACGGGTGTTTTCCGGCTAACTCGATTCCTAGTTTTCCAATATTTGCATCTAGGTTAGTATCTAACCTTTACATCAATAAAATAACTTAATAGGGATGTTTTATACACTTGGAGTAGTGTATAATAGTCCCACCAATCGTTCATATCATTTGGAAAATGAATGGAAAGGTTTTGGGATTAAAAACTCACTTAGAAGTGTAAATCCGTCCCTGCGAGGTCGCGTTCTGCTCGGACGATTTGGAAGCCTTCCTCTACTCCTATTGATGCAAACCAGACCTTCACGGATTCCTCGTCTTGAGAGTTTTCTTTTGGTATCTCACACGCCTTAATTGGATTGGTAAAACTCGAGATATCAACCAAACAGTCTCAGCACTCTCACAGCTCGAGTTCACAGACCACTGCTCGTTCCAGATCGATTTTTGGATGATTACTCTCTCCTCTCGAACTGAGACCACTCAATTATAAAAATAGACTTCAAAATCTATCCAAGGACACCTTATACACCTCATTTGGCCGAGTATAACATCACTCATGAAGGGAGACAACCAGCACCACTCTTATGTGCGAAAATTGACTAGGTGGGGTTCCCTCTTGTTTCCTTTGTCAAGTCCAGCCCCTAGAGTCAGCTATGGCAGTCTCCTAACCTTATTTTTCTTGTCTTGCAGGTGGAAAAGAAGGGATGGGGCGCAGCATGTGTTTCCCCATTATTTTTGGGAGCAAAACATTAATCAATACATCCAAAAATGGAAGAATGGGTCCTATTGTTTTATCTTTTGTCAAAGATGTCTTTTTGGACTCATCCTAATTTATTTGGAACAAGTCAACTTCCTACATAACATTATTGATCTCCAATATGTGTAGGCTCATCTCAATAACTTACTTGATGGATAATATAGAAGGAAAATCCTACTCCCATTATTTGGCTCAATAATGCCAAAGATGGGGTTATAGGCATTTGTACTCTTCTTTAATCATCCTATCGCTTATTTTGACATTTGTCATTCATATTATTGGGCTACAAGCCGTGTGGGTCGCCCCCGAGTGGGCCTACGACGCCGTCCTCAACTGTTTGCTATTTTAGCGGGTTGAGCTCAAAATAATGTATGGACTGCCCGCCCTTCCTCAACTTGTCTTGAAACGTTATGTATAACTATTTAGATAATGTTTGGATCTTTTATTTATTAATAAGGCCCAAATGAGTATCCTCAGCCCAACACTAATGTACGAGTTCGAGCGGTATCATAATCGATCATGAATTACGTAAAACAACAATCGTTTTACAATTGTTTGGGAATCAGAAATCCAATACATAAACTTTGAATTCTAAAATCAAATTCTCAAGGACGTTCGGGTGCGGTGTCACAAACGACGACAGTGGTCTGGACTTCGTCGGAAGTGCTCGGTCACGGATTGGGTTTGGCCAAACAGGAAGACGCACGGGACGAACAAAGGGAGGGAATCTCCATGTCAGGAGAAGTCGAAGTCGTGATTACGGATGGGAAAATCAGTCTTCCGGGGTTCCAAGATATGATAACATCTGTTTGGCACCCGGGGAAATCGCTTTGGTGCAACAACAATGATGAAGTAGAGGTGGTCGAGTCGGAGGAAAACCACTTTGTTGCAACAACAATCGCTGCGAGGGTCCGGCTTCCCCCAGTTACACCGCCGTGTTTTCATATATGGTGGTGTTGGTGAAGAAAACAGGTGATGGTGTTATTTTTATTGTCTGTTTTGTTTACTTTTATTTCGGATGCTATGTTCTGTTTTTCTTTTGCGTTTTCAATCCTTGTAAGGCTCTTGCATTAGGTTTGGGGGAAGTCTGCGATAACCGTCATTGGCTTTAAGTTGCCAATTTTGGTCTAGCGAGTTATACTGCTTTGTTACAGGTGGTTAACACTCAGTCTCGGCCACGTGCGGATGTTTATTTGTGGTTCTTTTCTATTTTTGTACCCTTGTTGAATGCTATTTCTATGAATTAAGCCCTCTTCGAGCAAAAAAAAAAGTAAATCGTTGTGAAGTAAGTTTAGAATCTGACGAGCACTTTGTCACGGTGCGTCAAAATAAATTCAATACTAACACTTATATGTAGTATAGCGTAGTAGAATTCGTATCCACATGGAAAGGAAATAATTCTCTTTTTATAAAACTAGTAAATAAAGGGGGGGGGGTTAGGATTGAATGATTTAATTTAATTAAAAACAAAGATGAACAACTTATATGTGATTTAATTCAAAGATAAAAGGGACTTGGCATTGCTACTTTCCACTTGTTGATATATTTTAGTGGATTATTGTTATATCTATAACTTATCCTCTCTCGAATACTCAATCGAGGAGTAAATCCAATTCATCGAGGGTAGTTATTAACAACGACCGTTCATTAATAACCCTTACTATTAGTCAAGTATAGAACACCGTCATATACTGACTTGATAGTAGCATTTAATCTCTTAACTCCTTGATGAAATCAATTGAGATTGATAACCTCAACACAACGGATTCGGTTTAACCAACAAAATTAATCCCTCTTAAGTTTATTAACCACGACCGTGCATTAATAAACCAAAGTTACTTACTTGTGAAACCATCAACAATTAACCATCGGTTCGTTGATCGATTCTAGTAATAATTAATATATGAAACAAAACTAGTTGATCATTTAAGTAATGTTCAAAATATTAATATGAAATATGAATAGGAATTAATTAATACTCAAGGAAGAATATTAAAGAAGATGAATTCACTATATATAGTTAATATCAAGATGTTAATTAATTGTCATCTTAGTAACACTCCCCAATATTAACATAGAGGAAGAAATAACCATTACTATAACTAATGTCAAGATGTTAACTAATCGTCATCTTAATAACACTCCCCAACATTGATATAGAAATACTCCCTCCGTCCCAGGGAGAAGTTCCCGGGTTGACTTTCACACATATTAAGGAAATAAAGTTACTGAGGGGTAAATTTTACTGTTTGGCACTGTTTCGACACTGTTTGGCACTGTTTCGACACTGTTTGACATTGTTTTGCACTATTTGACACTATTTTTATGTAGGATAACTTTCCATTTAAGGAAATGGGAACTTTTTGTTGGGACTGCCAAAAAAGGAAATTGGGAACTTCTCCCTGGGACGGAGGTAGTAGTATTTAAAGGAAGAATTAATATTCAAGGAAAGAAGATAAGAAAATAACTCACAATTTTAATAATCAACAAGCTTCAAGAGCAACACTGCAACACCAAGAAATGAAAGTTTAGCTCCTCATTTGGAGACTAAATATGCTATAAAAATATAAAAGAAATATTATTCTAAACTGAGCTTAAGAGTGTGGAAGAAGGAGTGAATATTTGTGAAGGAAAAGTGTGTTATTTATAGATGTTTTTCAACACCTTGGGCCGGGTACCTGACCGGGTAAAGTGCCCACCGGACCGGGTGCATGTCAAAATCAAATAATCTTCCACGTTCTTGTGTTTCAGCATGTCATTTTGTCCCGGGTCAAATCTGACCCGACCGGGTGAAATACCTCACCCGACCAGGTCTGGAAATTTCCTGAGCTTCTTCGTTTGTTAAATTTTCAAGTGTTATACGCGGTCGGGTTTCAGCTCCTGGACAGTCCAATCTCCTTTTTCTTCACTTCAAAGTCTCCCTTTCCAACACCATAATTCCTAATTCTACTTTCCCACTTACAAATGAAGATTAAAATACAATTACAACTAAAATCACACAAATGTTTACAAACTAAATAAAACGATAAACAATACACACAAATTAAACATAAATACATACACTTATGCACTACTAATTAGTACATATCATAATCCAATTCGAAGCTTGCTCAAAATTAGAGCGACAACCAGAAGTGAAAAAGTTTGCCCAAGTAAAGCATGAGCAGCTGAACGCTTATAACATAAAATCTTAAAATAATTATGATTTTCAAGAATACAATGGATATCATTCAAAATCACCTCAAAGATTTGTGAGTTATTATAATTAAAAATACATCCAAATAAAAATAAAATTCATTGAAGTGTTGAATTGTTACATATTGTAGTTGTTGTGTAAGAAGATTTACGAGGGATATAACAGATAAATTAGAGTTATTTTTCGAACTCCACGTTTTTCTATAATAATTCTCTTGCAGATAGTTGAGTTCTTATTTCTAGATCAACAAATCCACAAAAATGTCTTGAAAAATGAAAACAATATCCGCTATCAAAGTCCCAAAATAGATTTTTAAATCTGAACATATATATTTGAATGCCTCACATTCTATATCTACAGTCTACACCATGAAGTGTAAAGCTGGTTTCTTCCCATCGTCCTCTTCATTTCCACCCTTATGCTGGAAAAAGTATCTTCGAAAAAACAAATTTGCTTGCTGCAATAAGGTACTACCATGGTTAAATAACCAGACACAGTTTGGAATTGACCGCTCCGATACAGATTGGATGGAGCCGAATCCTCCAGAATGAGTAGCTCATGATAATTACACCAAATCATTTCTTGCTCTAAACTTTTCCCATTTTCCCCACTATATTTGTGATTTATGTTATGAGTGAATGAACTTGTAGCGCTCAAGATGAGTCCAATCCGATCACTTCCATTGCCTCATCGATGGAGAACCCAGTGGAGGATAGGGAAAAGAGAAAAAAGGGAAAGAAAAGAAAACCAAAAAGAGAAGGGAACAAAACAAAATATGAAAAGCACAAGAATACGGAGTATAAGCTAGGCTGTAGTGGTTGACAGCCAATATAAACTCACCATCGACTTTTTAGCAATGGGTGACATATAAAATCACTGGCAGCAGTTTGGTTGATTCTCTTTCTGTAGTTTCTCCCACAGGCAGAGCACCATCCTTGGATTCTGATAATGTGCAAGAATGTAATTTGACTCACAGCCATCATTGTAGAACCGATCGTCGTGTACGTATTGCACCTTGTGACCCTTTTGTTTGAACTCTTCAATCCATATGCCCACAGCAACGTCTTCGAGTTTAAAAAGCTGGACACATGAAGGGAACAAAGGTAAGATAAACCAATACATATATTCAAAAGTGTGTGGGCAGTGTGGCATTCTAGCAAAAGTCATCACAAGTAACGACACTGTCGAATATTAAGCAATTCCATAATGGCCAAATATAAAGACGCAAATTAATGTATGAGACTTCAGGCTACTCCTCTCACCTTGTTGAACTCATAGGCTGGAACGAGATTTCTTAATGCATAAAACATAAATGATCATAAATGAATAGTGCAGAAAGAAAATTACCATAAGGTCCCTTTTTTTATGACCCTGGACAATGAACTTTGCTATATCTCGAGAAATTATATAACCTGGACCATGAGCCCAAGGTGGATATGAGGAATGAGGCCATTCCTGCACAGAATGATCAATATTTCAAATTAAAGTAGAAAATGTATAGTACCTGTGAATTGATATCTTCTACCTCACTTTTCTTACTTCTGTAGTGCCTCTATGTGGGGAACTGGGATATGTAGCCTTAGTCCCAAAAGAGTTTGAGTTCGGCTATATGGGGGGGGAGGGGGGGTAATTGCTTGAATTATATTGATGCATTTTGGTGCCCCAACTATTAAATAAAGAAAATGAGCATAACATATGAAATTCGTCCTAAATTATCTAACAGTATAGCCTGAGCTTCGTATACTTGCTTTAGAAAATTATACAGAATATTTTAATTAATTAATTAACTCACATGTCACGGCTAGTTAAAAGTGCAGTTATCTTCAAGAATTCATTTGAATGTCTTCCTGATTGAAGTTTTAGCTGAAATTTGGTATGAGTAAACTAGACTTAATAAATAAGATGCTCAAAAAATTTCATCAAAAAATTCCACCGGGAACCGCCCCAAATGGCGACGGCAGGACAGAACCTCCTATATAAGGGCTTATTTGACCTTTTTATGTAAGTTTGAGGGCGTATCTGACCTTTTTCCCTTTAGATAACAATAGTCTTACCAATTTAGGGGGGAAACGCAACATGTAGCCAATGTAGTCATTACAGCATAGTCAAGGTTATCAAGTATGATTATTTTGACCAGAAACTCAAAATGATATTATTCTGAAACATTTAGATGCGCTTAAGTTATCAATTCGCTTCATTCAATAGTTGAGATACTAAAATGCAACATTATCAATAGTTATAATACTGTATATGCTATTATCATCTCACATTGGTGTGACTTGTGTTCATGATTGATGGAGGGAACTAGAGTTGGCATAGCTTTTCATCAAAATTTATGTTTGCACCCTACTTTCGAATTCATCTATACTTGCATCATGAAAATCACAAAATACACCCCTTTTTCTTACAAGTTCCACCTCATTTTTAATCTTTTTTTTTTTTACTTTTAGATCCAAATATTAATGGTTTAAAAAATGAGTTGCAAACTCAAAATTTGGACGAAAAGTGGTGCACAATAAAAAACGTGATAGAAAATTTGAGCTCGTACCTCAGTACTGATGTACCATTTGTTCTCCTTGTCCCGATGGGGAGAAGATTCAAAAGCAACTCGGCCATACAAGAGACTGGTGGAATGCTTATCTTTGAGGCTTGAAAGGATTTCATCTATCCTTACAAATGCATCATCGTCCGTTTTCATTATATAGTTAGCCTGGAGAAATTTTACCTAACAGGGAAAAAAAGTAAAAGCTCATGAGAGGGAATACTCTTGATTAGTATATTCAGACTTGAAACTCTATTCTAAAAGATCAACATCATAGAAAAAGTAACCAATTATGTTGCAGCAGGAAATGTGTGAATCATGAAATATGGCATGGGGAATTTCCATTTTTAATTGGAAATAAATTGCTATTAAGGTTTTTTAGAGTTTTAAATGTGGAAATGCTCCCTTGTAAGAATTTCTGTGCATTATAGATAGTTGAATATATTATGTGTTTTGTTATTTTATATTGTGATAATGTGAGGGCTTAACAACATTTATCTTATGTGGAAATGATGACAATGACAAGCAATATTGTAAAATGCCCTAGTGAGTAGTGACTAGGCTGTACAGTTGTACATACCCCAAGAATGCATATGGCAACCGTTTTCAAATTGAGCAATGTGTAGTAATCAACAAAAGGCATCAGTTGAATATCTTTGTATGTTTGAGCTTCTTTCCAAATTTCCAAATTGACCTGCTTGCTTGTATGCTACATCCAAGTTTAAACAAAATAAAATCAACTCCTGCTATCTGAAATTAAAAATTAATACATTGATTTAATCTGTACTAACTTACAAGACCAATGAAAAACCGGACAGCCACTTGCCCAGAGCGTACAGCTTCATACTGCATCCACGTTCTTCTCAATGCCATCCGTCTCTCAAAATTGTTTCCCATTGAGAATACTCCGATCAGCATTGTAAGTCGTTTCTTGCCACTTAATAATGGAGCTTTGAGTTGTTCAACATCAGCCAAATCTGGATCTTGAGAAACTGGCAGTCCTTTTGCTAAGGCAGATATGATGTCCAACCCACCTCCCACACAGACTTTGTTAACCGACCATGGCTCCAGTTTCTGCACAATTGCAAGCACTACTCAAACCACCCCACAAACATAATCTAGAGAATTGCTCTAAATCTGTCTATAGAAGTGTCTCACATATTAAAACATACTACCTCTGTCCCGCTAAGATTGTCCCATTTTACCATTTTGGTCCGTCCCATTAAGATTGTCCTTTACCTTATTTGGTAAAGTTTATGTGGCTCTAAATCATTCTTACATTATTCTTACTTTATCAATTCAATAGCAACCACGTAAACCACTTTTTATAGATCTGTGTGCCACTCCCTCTTGCCCCATTGTTAGTGGGACGGAGGGAGTAATATTTTATGTGTTGCATGGAAATGTGGGAATCATGGGGAAATGGGAAACACCATTTTTTAATAGAAAATCAACTGTTTGGAGAGATTCCATAGAGTTTTCAAAATGGAAACGTACTCTTTCCCCAGAGTTTCTGTGTTTCATAGGATTTATTCTAACATGTCAACTTGTTTTTCTTAGACATGAGTTTGTATCATTATATTTAGCTGGTGTTGGATGGTCAAACATCCTCAGAACCATTCTTACAAACATGTGGTCTGTTTTAGTCTTAGTCAAAGATTATTTGTTTGTTTGAGTTTAATTGACTTTGATAACGTGCTAAGACTTTAGATTTTATGTGACTTTGTATACATATCTTTATATTTGGCCAAGATGGGGATGGTCTATCAAGTAGGGAATTACCCACATATGACTAGGGTTGTTATCGAACCGAACCTTTATCGAACAGTTTGAGCTTGTGTTCGATTTCAAGCCTTAATGAACTGAGCTTAACGAATTCCAAGTCCGAATACGAGCTTAATTTACAGTTCGAAAAGAAAAACGAACTGAGCTCGAACATGATGGTATTCGGTTCGATACATTACCGAGCCTATCGAACACTTATATAAATACATATATTTTTACCCATATGTCCACTTTACTTGCTTATCTAGTACTCCGTACATAGTATCTCCTAATTCAGATACTTATTATTTATTTATTTCTTATCAATTATGAAAGAGATAAGGGTCAGATAGGGTCTCGAACTTGAAAAAAATGTCAAATAAGGCCATATTTAGGATGCTCTGTCCGGCCGATGCCATTTGGGGTGGTTCCCGGTAGAATTTTTTGATGAAATTTTTTGAGAATCTTATTCATTAAGTCTAGTTTACTCATATCAAATTTGAACTAAAACTTTAATCGGGAAGGCATTCAAATGAATTCTTGAAGATAACTGTACCGTTAAAAGCGCAGTTATCTTCATGAATTCATTTGAATGCCTTCCCGATTGAATTGTTAGTTCAAATTTGATATGAGTAAACTAGACTTAATGAATAAGATTCTCAAAAAAATTCATCAAAAAATTCCACCGGGAACCATCCCAAATGGCGTCGGCCGGACAGAGCATCCTAAATATGGCCTTATTTGACATTTTTTTTCAAGTTCGAGGCCCTATCTGACCCTTATCCCATTAGAGATAAGGGTCAGATAGGGTCTCGAACCCTATCTGAATGCCTTCTCGATTAAACTTTAATCGGGAAGGCATTCAAATGAATTCTTGAAGATAATTGTACCGTTAAAAGCGCAGTTATCTTCATGAACTCATTTGAATGCCTTCCCGATTGAATTGTTAGTTCAAATTTGATATGAGTAAACTAGACTTAATGAATAAGATTCTCAAAAAAATTCACCAAAAAATTCCACCGGGAACCACCCCAAATGGCGTCGGCCGGACAGAGCATCCTAAATATGGCCTTATTTGACATTTTTTTTCAAGTTCGAGGCCCTATCTGACCCTTATCTCCTAATCCCGATTTATGAAAAATAGATATAAGATGCTTTATGACAAAGAGAAAATGAAATGAGCAAAAGTTTCAGATATGTGTTTATTATTTCTACTATGTAGAGAAGCATGGGTGTTCCTGATGTTTTGAAATTGAGTCAAGTGTCCTATTTTGTTCAGAGATGTGTTTATTATTTCTACTATGTTTTGAACTTCAAAACTTCAATCTCCTTGAAACATTCAACCATCTAATATTTTGTTCTTACATTTGAACTTTGAGGGCTAAATAGACAGATTAGAATTGAAGTTTGGAACCAAAAGTGCAAGCTTCAAAATCTGGTCCGTACCTTCAATTCGTGGGTTAATTCTCTTCACTTACATTTAAACTTTACTTTTTGGGTTTTGCTAGGTGTACACAAAATGTGTACACCTTTTTTGTACACTTGTCTGTCCCAGGCAGACAAGTTGTCTGTCACAGACAATTCATATATGAGTTGTCTGTGACAGACAACTTGTTTGCCTGGCACAGACAAGTGTACAAAAAAGGTGTACACATTTTGTGTACACCAAGCATTTTTCTTACTTTTTTTTATTTTTTATATGTATCAATGTGTTTTATCACTTGAATACTGAGTATAAAACATATATATTCTGTATGGTCAATGGTGAGTGGGTTTGTTTATTGTAGAAGAAGAGCATAAAGTCATGAATTGCATTTTTCTAAACACTAACTGCTGCAGTGGCTGCACTAAGAAGAACATACTATCCTATTGTTTAGTATGATTATGTATTGTGGCTGCACTAACTGCTGCAATGGCTGCACTAAGATGTGTTTATTATTTTACTATGTAGAGAGGCATGGGTGTTCCTGAATCCTGATGTTTTGAAATTGAGTCAAGAGTCCTCTTAAAAGTAACTAGGTAGACTTTGTGGTAACTATGTATTAAAGTTATCTTGGTGGGGTAAGAAACAATCTTGGTCCAAGCACTTACAGTGACCTAAAATACAAAAAGAACGCTTCAGGCATGATGCAGGAGCTTGATTGAATAACTTGGAGCTAGTTATAAAACTTTCTATATTAAGTAGGAGCTTGATTAAATAACCTGGAGGTAGTTATAAAAATTTATAAGTACTTGCTCTTTATTGTACTTGGTAATGTTGGTAACTAAAATGACTAAAGGGAAACTATATACTAGGTAGCTAAAATAGTTAAAATGCTGCAAAATTATACTGAGTAACATTTATTTGTATGATGTATTGCCCATGTTTCAGATTTATGCAGGCACCATCCACCAGCATCCTACCTTTTAGTGAAGGGTCAAACTTAATTTATATAATGGCAGAAGAAGAAGTTGATACCTCTATCAACACCGATCAGTCACATGTAGAGGAGATGGCAGATATACCTGACGAGACTCAGGTGGGGCATGATGGAGGTGAAGAGCCTATAATTGAAGAATCAGATCTGAATTTGAACAAAGAAAGAGCAAAACGGTCAAAAAATTGGGAAGATTGTTTCACTAAGATAAAGAATGCCAAAGGAGTGGTGGTAAAAGTTCAATGCACTCATTGTAAAGTGAAGTTGTCTTGGCAAAGGACTGGCACCACAACGCATTTAGGTAGACATATGAAGACGTGTTCTCAAAGAAAGGCATCCATGAGGCAGCAGGGTCTACTAAACGTTCAAGCAAGCAATTTGAGTATGCCTTCTCTAGCTCCAGCAGTTGTGAGGGGGAAGTACGATCATGGAAAAATGAAGGAAGCTATTTGTCACTGGAACATGATGCATGAACATTCATTCCCTATCGTAGAAGAAGAAGGGTTCAATTTTATGATGAAAGTAGCTAATCCTTTTTATGAAAGAATTGGTCGAGTTACTTTAAGAAATGACTGCATCAAAGTTTATGAGCACGAAAAGAAAAAGGTACAATCTATGCTCTCTAACGTTTCAAAGATCAGTTTGACGACTGATTTATGGAAATCAAAGAATCAAAAGATTGGTTACATGGTAGTCACAGGCCATTTCCTGGATGCTGAGTGGAAGCTCAACAAATGGGTGCTAAATTTTGTTCATATTCTACCACCACACAGTGGCGATAATATTTCAGATGCTTTGTACAAGTGTTTGAAAGATTGGGGAATTGAGAACAAGATTTATACTATATCAGTAGACAATGCTTCAGCTAATGACACTGCAATCAAGAACTTGAGGGAAATCTTTGCGATGAAGAAAGATTTGGTTTGTGGGGGAAAGCTTTTTCATGTGAGGTGTTGTGCACATATCTTGAATCTTATTGTTCAAGATGATTTGTCTAGAATCAAATGTGTAATTCAAGATATAAGGGATAATGTCTCTTTTCTTAATCAAAGTGAAGCTCGAATGAACACTTTCTGTGAAGTTGTCCAACAATTGCAAGTGTCTGGCAGAAAACTCATACTGGATTGCAAAACACGTTGGAACTCAACATATGATATGTTGCACTGTGCGTATATGTTCAAGGATGTATTTCCAATATATCGAAGAAAGGAACCTAATTACACGTCATGTCCATCAAGAGAAGATTGGGAGAAGGTAGAGAAAATTCTTGATATTTTGGTGGTTTTCTCGAATCTGACCAATATAATATCTGGAAGTGAATACCCAACGAGCAACCTTTTTCTGGTTGGAGTTTGTAAGATTAAACAAAGCTTAGACAATCGGGAAAGTGATGAAAGTGCATTTGTGAAGGATATGGTCGACCAAATGAAGAAAAAGTTTGACAAATATTGGGGAGAGTGCAATTTACTCATGTCTATCGCTGCTGTTCTTGATCCAAGGGTGAAAATGAGGGCTTTGGACTTCTGTTTTCCTAAGATATATCGTGAATCAGAGGTAGACCTCAACATAGAAAAGGTGAAAAGTGCTTTGCGTGAGCTATATAATGAGTATGTGACCATGGAAAAAAGTTCTACTCTAGGGAAGAGAAAGTTTAGTTCTTATCAGTCCACTTCAAGAATGAATTCATCCGCATCCGACTTTGATGAGCTACATGCATATGTGAAAGAAGTAGAGACTATCCGGCCAAATAGAACAGATTTGGACATGTATTTTGAAGATGGTTGCTATATTTGCTCAGAAGGATCTTCTGAATTGTTTGATATTTTAGCTTGGTGGAAATGAAACCAATCAAAGTACCACGTTCTTTCAAAAATGGCAGCTGATATCTTGGCGATTCCAATACTACAGTGGCTTCCGAGGCTACATTTAGTGCTGGAACAAGAGTAATTGACGCGTATCGTGCATCACTATCAGTTCAGACAGTAGAGGCACTACTTTGTGGAGGAGATTGGCTTAGAAATCTTCATGGGGTAAAAAAAAATGCAAAGTGAGTAGCTTATGTGATTTCAGTTTTATTCTTCACAATGATTATGATTAAAAAGTTGTGATGCTCATTTCTTAAATCAACTTTCTCTTTTGCAGGCGTGCAAGGAACCAAAAATAATTAATCTGCCAATACCATAGATGATCAAACAAGGAGCTTTAATGCAGTGGAGTGTGGACAAGTCTCATAATCTGTGAATTACTGATTGGAATATGAATTATTGCTCACTGTATTTGACTATTTTGCTTTTAATATTTTTGAACATATAAACTAGCTTGGCTCCTGAATTTGAACATAGTTGCTTGGATATCTAATGCTTATCTGCTGCACAAGGGATCATTAGTAAGTTTTTGGTAGAGAAAACATTACTTGGTGTATTTGTTAAGAGTAAATACCAAAAGAACTAAACTTGGTGTACTGGCTAATAGCAAAAGAACTAAACTTTTGAACATAGTTGCTTGGTGTATGTATTCTCTATAGTATTGTATATGTGTGTATTTACTCTTATCTGGACAGTGAGGTATCAAAAGCTTGGACAGGTCTTACACTCTTATTTGCTTGGATAGATCATTTTTTCTTCTAAAATGATTCTTTGCAACTTATTGGCTGTCCATTATTGTCCAAAAAGGAATATTGTGATGCATTTTTGAATTTTTGTTGTATGTAAGTGATGATAATTTTTGGAGGTGTATGTAAGAGGAAAGGAATTGATGACATTCTTACTGAATTTTATAGGTTTAGTAATTGAGAGAATTTTTTCTTCATTAAACGAGCTTGTGTTCAAACTCGAGCTCTAATCGAACTATTTTTTTCGTACAGTTTTCCGAGCCTATCGAGTATCCGAACCGAGCTTCGAACACACATCAAACCGAGCTCGAGCCTAATAAATAGAGCTCGTCGAGCTTTGAGCTCGAACTCGAGCAGTATCAAAACACTATCGAACCGAGCTCGAGCCTATGTTGTTCGGGCTCGGCTCGGTTCGTTAACAGCCCTACATAAGTACATATGACCTCTACTTCAATACTTATACATAGTTGGGTCTGTAAGGATACTTCGAATTTAAATTTAAAATGGTATTAGAATCTGATCTGGAGATGGTTTGTGGGCATTCTTCCACCTGAGAGTTTGGGACAGAACCATTTGGAGGTAGGCTTGGGGAATATGATAAGTACCTAACAACAGAAGTAGTCTACCAGAGTTTTATACCACACATCACCTCTCTATAGGAAAAAGAAGTTTCATGTCTTCCGTTTACAGTCATATGAAATCCTTCCAGACCAGCCCATAATGTTGCAGTAAACGGGTAACCTTGGACGAATGGAAAATCGGGTCTTGCGTGTGCAGTTCCATTTGAACCATCAGCCTGATTCAAGCTTTCCAGATGACTAGCATTTGAAATATGTTGCAAGTTGCTTCTTATGATTTTTGCATTACACATTGCAAGTCCATCAACTGAAAAAAACACAGGTAGAAGAAAAAACATTACTCCGTCCCAAAAAATAGTCTTGTTTCAAATAATCAATTAAAAGATGCTTAATTTTTCATGTAAGTTGTGAACATACATACATTATACATACATAAATGACTCACAGGGAAGTGAAGTTGTATTTGACAAATATAGATATGAATAAATAAATTTGAGAAATACGTGTTAGAGCCCCACATCTGAAAATTAAAGAGAACGATGCGTTAACAGGGCCTAGTTGAGTGAATTGTTTGAATTCTATCCTTATACATATGATTGCATTATGACAGTTGTATGTAACCAAAATAAAAAATAGTTGTGCATTTGTCAAAAAACTGACAAATAAGAACTAGATTAACTAAGTTCCTATGTTCCAGAAATTGGATTTCAGTTTTAAACATTCAATTGCAAAAATGGCATGAAAATTGAAATAACTAAAAAAGCATTAGCATATTTTCACCTTCTGGTGTGTCGGATGAGCCACGATCCGGGCATCTCTCCTCTTTGCCCCACCCAGATGCGTTAGTCCATGCATTCTGAATGATAATGGGACTCTTTGTCAAGTTCTGACCTGGCAAAACAACATCATAACGCAATAATATAGGAGGTGTTACACCCTCAGGAAGCTGAGAACCAACTAGATCAATCCGGAAACTCTCCTGTTCAGAATCGGGCATCCCAATCACAGTAATGGATGAGTCTTCAATTAAACCACATGGGATTTCAAGAATACTCTCATTCTTCGATAGTGTTTCATTAAAAAGACTCACAGAGTATGTACACTCTTTACCTTCTTTCTCATCCAATGATTTATCCTCTTCAGTTATTGATAGCAACAACTCTTTCCAAGCCAGGGAAGCCTCCTTGATTCCCTGGGCAGTATTAGGCAGTGCATCTGACCGCGATAATAAAGACCTCATTTCACCCCACACAAGCATAGCCACAGAGTCTGAAACATTATGTGAGCTATATAAATCAACTAACCCATCAAAGTTGACAAAATGTGGCTTCCCTTTAAACCTAGAATGATTGGTTTCCTTCACTGGAGGCATTACCTCCTCCACATTATCATCACTAATATCTTTTGCATAATCCTCAACATTATATGTACTACTTGGCGGATGACTGTTGAAAAAATCATAAGCTGATTGTTTCTGCAGTGGTTTTTCGATGGAGCTAAATCGAAATAGCAAAGTAACAGCAAGACCAAGAATAAGCAAACATCCTGCCCATTTCTTCATTCTTTTTTTATGCCAGCCGCCCAGCCCAAAGTTTGTGTTTTTGACTGCCTAACTCTGTCAAAATTGACAAAACAACTTTAAACATCTCACATCAACTAAATTTAAAAGTATAACTTAAAATTTAATGTTTTGGATGGATTAAAATCTAGTTAAACATGAAAACAACCAAAATATTAAGACTTGTGTTCTACCTTAAGGGATTAACAACACAATAGGAGTAACCAAGATTCACTTGTGATTTTGTATCTTGAAATTATGCAGGTCTGGAATGGTTTAGCACAAATTCACTTAGTAAATAAAGAAAAATGAATCTTTTTTCTGCTTTAGAGGTAAATAAATAGATTTGCTCATTTTCTCCCTCTGCATTTTCTGGGTTAGGATTCAGTTGGGAATTCGGGACCAATCTTGAAACTCAGAAAGTAAGCACCTTTGTATAAAGAAGTTTATAGGATTCAAATCTTCTTAAAATGTAATGAATGAGTATAAGAAGCTGCATATGGACCTTGCGATCTGAAAGAAGCAAACAAGTCAGTTTGTTGATTTAGCTAGAGCTGGAGTGAGGTCTGAAGTGAGGTAAGATTGGCTTCTAAAGTTCAGCTGACTGTAGTGTCATTTTCAGCTGAAAGTGGGGGGAAGGGCCACGGCGTATTTGCTCTTGTGCCGGAAGTAGGAACAAAAATGCCCACCACGACCGGCCGACGTGTGATTTCCGATGAGCTGTTTGCTGAATATAGGATGTCTGGTACTTACCAATTTACTCCCGCAGTAATTGAAATTCATACTCCGTATTCGATTTGAATTATGTTACATTTACATTTCATTTCTTTTGCAAATACAGTATTATGTTACATTTCATAATCTACCTCTCTACAAAATAAAATGGAAAAACTGATGTGTTTCCCACGAGTCATTAAGGGAGTGTTTACAACTGCTTCTGCTAAAAAAAATCACTTTTTGGAAAAAGTGATTGTAGTAAAAGTTGATAGTGTTTGAGAAAAAAAATGATTTTGAAAAGTAAAAGTTGTAGTGTATGATAAAATAAGTGTTTTTTGTGTAATAGAAAAAGTAAAAACACTTTTGACACGAAAACCGAGAAAAATAAAAGTTGGTAGTATTTGATAAGCCAAAAACTGAGAAGTGCTTTTTTAAGCAGTTGCAAGCCAAATTCATTTGACCAAGGTATAGGGATGGCAACGGGGTGGGTTTGGGGCGGGGGTTCACTCCCTCATCCCCCGCCCAATGTCTAAAAAGTTCCCTCATCCCCGCCCCATCCCCTGTCACTCCCAGACCCGCCCCATCCCCGCCCCACCCCGATGTCCCCCACGGGTGCCCACGGGTGCCCCCATATATATTTTATTTATCTTATTTGTGTATTTTTTTTAATCCATTTTATAGATAAATAAATATATATAGCAATGAAAGAGTTAAACTAGATAATATTGTGTTCGATAAAAGATGGTACCGCGAATTTTTAACAATTCTTCAATTTGAATAAGTTCTATGAAAATAATAAAACTAAAAATATAAATAAACATATTACCATCATGTATGTCATTCCAAATTTCTCATCAATTATACTACAATTGATTATATATATTATACATACGTGTGTGTGTGTTATTTACTTAGTTTCTCACTTTTAAAACTCATATATGAGTTTTAAAAGTGAGAAACTAAGTAAATATTATCATTTATGATAAAGATTTTTAGTCATTACTTATTATTCTAATATAATACTTACGTAGTATTAGTTCATTAATCATGACTAATACACGTACATGTATGCATGTCTATAATAAGTATGTGTATGTGTTTGTTAAATAGTACAATATAATTTAATTAAATATGTTTATAACCATTATTAATATATGTATGTATATATATGTATGTTTGTGTATATATGTATAACGGGTACGGGGCGGGGCGGATGTAGTAATCCCCATCTCCGTCCCATATTTTAGCGGGGTAGAAATATCTCACTCATCCCCGCCCCCCGCCCCACCCCAAACCCCGCCCCATCCTTTCCCCGCGGGGCGGTTCCCCACGGGTCCCCGTCCCCATTGCCATCCTTACCAGGTCGTTCATTTGTCTATTCACAGTGTATCTTGCGTGATAATTTCATTATAATCTCAAGGGATCTATTCTTAATTAAAGGTAATGATGTCAAAATATATGTTATTGACTAAAACAATATTCTTTTCGTTTTTTGTTTTCCATTGTCATAGGATCCGAAAGTTATATGGGAGGCACGATCACATTATGCTAACCATCAACTTAATAATTAATAACATTATTGTAACAAATCATAGCAATAAAACATAACAAATTCATTCAAAAACGTTGATGTGATGATGCTAAATCCAACCTACATGTTCTCATGTCGTGAATATCAATAGTTAAAAAAGAGCCTCTTTTTATATCTACAAAAAAGAAAGTTTCACAAAATGAAAATTTCATTAGGAATTATAGAATTAAAGAGAGGGCAGAATGGCTCAAGATTCTTGTATGGGATTGATAATAGTCCATAGAATGGCCTCCAAGAAGTTTTCTTCTAATTTACTTTAGTGCACTCAATGGGGGGAATCACGAATGGAATGGGGGATTGGGGGCATGGCTGTTTACCAGAGTGATAACTATACAGCTTATCAGATAACTATAATATGTAGTTTTAGCACGAAAACTTTCGGAAAAGACTATGTTTCCGTTTTTTTTGGACAATTCTTTCTAACCTATATAGTATCTGTTCAATGTTAATGCCAACATCCTTAAACTGGGATGTGATGGGATGAGAAAAGACTACGTTTCCGTTTCAGAAACTCTAAGAACTCTTTGAAAACTCTTTGAGCAAAAGTTGATGATTTTCGTTTTCCATTTGTTTTCGTGCAACATAGACAATGTAACATGAAAAATAATGTTGATTCAAAATATATATACTTCGTATGAAATTTGAATTCTTTGAAAATAATTATCAATTATGTGGAGATAAATCTTTTTAAAAAATTGAATTTATTATTTCTATCATACCATTTGTAATTTTTGTCTACACCTTTCTGCTTAATTTCTGCATATTTTTGTCCCATAATTGCAGACATCATTGCATTTGAGAAAAATCTCAAAAATGTGCGGAGTGTTCTAGTTTCAGAAATTGCCCCTAAATAGGAGTAAAAACGTTTTGAAATTCTAAAATAGGAGTATCATGTTTTTTATTCCCTGAATAGGGGTAATCTGCTAAGTTTGGAAGAAAATGCCATGTTAAAAGCCTTGAAATGGCAAACTTGGCAGAAGTTTACTCCTATTCAAGGAACAAAAAACATGATACTCCTATTTTGGAATTTCAAAACGTTTTTACTTCTGTTTAGGGAATTCTCTCTTCTAGTTTATCCTTGTATACGAAAACCCGAAATATAATGTTCGACAGCATATTACTCCCTATTACTCCCTCCATCCCGAATAGAACTTGACATTTGTTTTTGATATGGTATTTTAGGAGCTCAATTAATAGAATTAATAATTTGTTTGTATTAATAGAACTTGACATTTGTTTATTTGTTTGGCATACCCATTGATTTTTGGGAAGAATTAATACTATCCACTCAAATGTAAAAAGTGGGTAAGTAGTGAAAGGTAATTAGGGCATTTAATGTACATGGAATTGCATAAAAAGAAAACAAAGAAAACATAAAGGAGTAAAAATGGAACATAAATAGGAACATCTCAAAAAAGAAAGTGTAAAGATTTAAATGGGATGGAAGGAGTATAGGAAAACATAAATCAAACCCAGTATACACCAATTCAGGTTTAAGTTCCCAATTCCAATTCTTGATTTCAACTTTTCAAGAAAGCCCAAACTGACCGGCTATTTTAGAACAGGTCTATACTTCCCACCCATCATCTATGTATTCACTTCTGTTTAAAAGACAGTAGCGTCCAAATGTATGCAAAAGTTAACAAATAAGAAAGTGTATTAACAGTCTAAACAGCGATGTCTCAAACCATACCAGAACTCCAATACAATACATTACACGGTACAAAAAAAGTCAATAAACTCAGATATTTTGTGCCAATAAAAAACCAACGTTTGCTTCTTTTTTGTCAATCAATGTCAGGCTAACAAAAGACCAATAAATGATTTATAAGGAGGCCAAAATCTAATCTAAAAACTCCCCAACCCCTCCCACCCCAAATACTCCATATTAACTTCTCAGATGTACTATCTTTTTATCGGGACTAAAATGAAAGGCGAAGGATAAACACAAACTTTTGCAAGCCACGGCTGCCAAAAAAACCATGATAGAACCCACCACCAAAACCAAAAAATATATATGCATCCATCCGTCGTTCCAGGAGAAACCCAAACAAAATAAGCTTTTACGATCTCCGAGGCCCACAAGGACAACGGTATATTTGGATGTACTGCTAGGCATGCAAGTGTACAGCAGACTGTAGAATGCATCAAGCTTTTTGAGGTGCACTTTTCCCAGAACCACTATTCTCACTACCCTGAAAAGATCTGGGATCAAGTTGAATAGATCCAACAGTTATCAACCCTGAAGGTTCAACATGTGCATTGACTTTGACAGGCATGGACCCCACAGTGACCACATCAATCACTTGGTTGTTTACAGAAGAATCAGTATTAGTTGTACCAGATGCCATATCACGCGACTTAGGCTTGGTTGAAGGCTGCTTGGCATGTATTGTAAGGGAGCCTATCTTCAAAACACTACTATCAATGCTAACTTCCACATTTTTATCACTTCCATTTGCAACTTCTTTATTGCAATTAGGCACTACTACAACAGGAATTTCCTCTTCGGCCTTCTTAGGATCACTATTCTCTGATAATTTCCCATCTGCATTGACAATTTTCCTGGTTATAAGAACTCCACTACTCCCAGACTTGCTGGTATCACCATTCTTTGTTGGCTTTTCATTTACCTCGCTCTTTTCAGTTGAACCAGTTTGGTTGGTTTTGGAAACTACAGACTCACACACTGTAGATGCCGGTTTCTCACTCTCCTGGGCAATAATTTTTTTAGGGACGGCTTTGTCAGTGGCATTAGAGGGAAGCGAGGAGTCGAACATTGAATTGAACTTGCGTGGAGGATCTAATACGGGTACAAGGTATGGATTTTCATAGCTCCTCATTAGAAGCTTGGTTCTGTCTTCTTGCATTATTTTTTCTCTGCTTTCATAGAACATAAAGTCATCGAATAAGGAGGTTCTCGATGTGAAGTTCTTAAAGATTTTAAGCATCTCCATCCCTTTCTTGAAGTATATCTGCATGAATATTATAAATCAGGTGAAATTTGGAATAGAGCTGCACCAAATATTAACAGCAGTGTGAAATACACCAGAGCAGAAAAGTCCTGTTTAACTCAATTTAATGTGAAGATGCAAATAAATAAAACTTCAAAGAATTGAGTTCTAGAGCTTTTACCCACAGACTGTGTCTGGTAAAATAAAGTGCAAATCCTACTTGTAAATATCAGCACACTAAGGACTACATGGAACATAGAAAAAGTGGTATCTTCTCCATGTCACAATAGCAATGGAGTAAACCAAGAATAAATGCATGGTGAAGTGTAGTACAAAATATGATGGAGATTTAAGCACACACCAGCAATACAACAGATTCAAAACTAGATCCCAAACAGTAGAGACATAGAAGATATCAAGGGCATATAAGGGGTTATTGAGCAATGACTAACTTGATTAGACTCATATGAGAACAATAGCTTCATCCTTATAGGCCATGACATACCCCAAGAAGTCTAAACCGCAAAATAAAAATGGCTTCTAGAAACATTTAACACATTGAACTTATCTGTATGCTACATTAAATTTTAAAGTACTGATTCAATGACCAGAGACCGCAATAAAGCATACCTCTTGTGTGTCTCTACTATTTGTCACGGGCTTATTTTCATTGTTTTCCAAAGTGATGTGTCTAAAGTTGGAATTTGAAACATCCTTAACAAAATGCCACTTCACAGGGAAACTGCCGCTCCACTTATCTTGCTGCCAGAAGTCCATGTCTTTATGGAAATCAACATGCCCTATCATCTCAGCAACACCACAGAACTGACCGCTTGCATTTACCTTCATTTCCATAAAGGAAAATATCACTTAAATAAATACTGAAAATGATACCTTGACAAGATAAAGATAGAAGCCTACTACATAAATGAAAGAAGAGAATGTCATTAAAGCTTGTGCTAAAGAATTTGACTCACAGAGAAGAACATGAAAACTGGACAGCCTGTTGAATTCCCAGCAGCAATCCTCTGAGCATCTTCATAAGCACTATTAAGCTTCCTGTTGCCATTAGGCGTAGATGACCAAACGTTGTACTTAATGCTCTTGTGCACGTCATCTTCACTGTAAGATTTAATAACAAAGAACTTTGCATTCCCATAGTCCATTTGAAATCCTTCAAAATTATACCGTTCTCTTAAGATAGTGATGTTTCCTCGAGCATCAATGTCTCCGGCTCTTGTACTGTACGCCTTAATGACCAATGGGCTATTTAACCTGTTGATCCGAGGAGCTAAACTCTGTCCAGATGATGCAGCAGGACTGACTTTTACATCGGTTGATACTCTTCCTTGCAAAATCTTGGGCTGAAACTTATCTACGTTGGCCACATCATGAGATGTTGATCGGAAAGTCGACAACCCATTATCAGGCGGAAGGGAGATCCTTATCTGAGAATGATTAGATTTCCCATGGGAAACACTTCCCAGTCCTTGAGTAACTTTAACCTGTCAGGTAAGGAAGAAGTCTATTAACTATTTGTTGCCCAAATCAGGACTCAATTTTGTTGGAATACTCAATGCAAAAATATTTTCCTCAGAGGACTACTTCTATATTTGGGATGAATTTTGTAAAAAAGATGATCCAAAAATGAAATAAACATCCTCATTCAGGATTAGCAAGGAACTGGGACATCTATTACCTTTGAAGATTGATTGGAGAAAGACTCAGAAGGAACACATCCATGGGAAACTGGCTGTTTGCTGGACCCAGGAAGAGATTTATTACCATCTGCGCCCCTCAAGAAGGAATTCGTTTGGCTAGAAGAAGAGCCTAATGAAGCTGGGATGAAGATTGGAGATGCTGAAGAGAACTTATGATTGAGACCACGGCTTTGTTGCACTATATTAGCGGAAGAAAATGTGTTATCGAGGAACGGAGTTTTACTGCTAGCCACAATATCAGATTCGTTTTGCATTATCATTGGGAAATATGATTGGGTGAACTCCGGGTTCTCATATGAAGGAAGGGTGTAGTACTGCTGTGTCCCCATATATGAACTGTCAACTCCCACAACAGCACCCGGAGTATAAGGGCTATATGGTGTTTGTGCATACCCATAGCTAGGAGTATAATATACATACGGAAAGCTCTCACTTTGTGAACCCTGAAAAAAAATCACAAACCCAAATTAAGAAAAACTATTTGGACAACTTAATATCTATGTAACTAGAAATATTTATTACCGAATAAGCATCTTGACCATCCAGACCAAAAACTCTTTGGTGGTCATCCCAATTAACGGCTGAATCAAATCCTATCCAAAAGCAAATCACCAAGTCATACACAATACTAACTAAAACTTATGAAAGAGATATAAATGTTAAAATATAATTACAGAATTATGTTACTCAGCGTAATAAACTAACCTGTACAAAAATACCCATAATTGGTGCCAGTAGGGTAATACATGCTCTGATCAATAACAAACTCAGGGACACCTTCACTATACATAGCTCCAAATCTTTCAAGATTCAGCCTGGTAATCCGGAGGTTCAACTTGGTTCTTTAAGATCTGGAAACAAGTAAGCAGGCCAATTTTCAATTTTCTATTACATAAGGAAGAGACAAGAAAGCAGAGGTAGCACAAATCAATTCAAAAAGCACTTGATTTTGAATCCAAGGCATTCAACCCTACTGATAGAAAGAGTGAAAAGACTCACCAGTACGGTTTAAACCGAAAGATACAAATATAAAATAACAATAGTTGATAGAACAAACACTAGAAACTGAAAAGAACACTCTTTGCCCACAAAACAGAACAAACTGGAACAAAATGAACTGTGAAAAGAAAGGAAGATAAGGGTTACCGATAGAGAGAACTTTTTAAATTCACGACGAGGTCGACATCAACATCATCAATTTAAAACGAGAACCACAGAAATTTTCAAAGGCAAAGCACTTGAGGAATAGAAAACCCTAACCCTAGCGAGAAAAATAAAAGAGCGAGAGAGAAAAAAGAGAAGGGAGAGAAAGACGCGGTGAGAGAGTTTTATAAGGTTTCATTTAAACTTTTTAAAATCATACGGAGAAAACTGGGGAAGCTTCCGAATTAGGAGCCGGTTGGTGATCCGGGTCAGGGTCACCCGGCCCGTTTCTGACCTGACTTGAAGGTAAGGCGGGTTTCTAACGGCGAATCTTAACGGCGTTCCATGGTTACCTGCCCAAAAAGGTAACGTCCGTTTCTCCTACATTTCCGTTTCAAAAACTCCGCAGATTAAAGACGGATCTGCAGGCGGGGTTGGTTTACCAGATCTCTACGCATCTTTTTTCCTCCCATCTGACTATTCATCGTAAGCCATTTTTTCGCCATCTCTCAAAAGTTTTGATTTGCTTTCCTTCGCTTCTGTTTCGTAAGATCTATCTCTATGTGGTGCGGTTTAAGGTTTTCTATGCTTTAGATGATGATGATAATGATATCCTTTCATGATTGAGAAATTTGTTTGATTTGTTGATACTTTTCTGCTTTTTGTTTTCGTGTTGTTTTGGCGATTTTTTTGAAAATGTTTTTACGGTTTCTATCCTTCCTGATCTGTGATCGGTTCTTGGAATGACGTTGAATGCTACAATGGCTTCAGATTTGGCGGACGATTAACCGATCTGTCTCATTTTCTGTGTTTTAATACTATTTTGGTTTCGGTCTGTAACATGTTTCCTTCACAGTTATTAGTTTTCTTCAACTTGTTGCTATATTTGGCAATTATGTGAAAATGCTCTTGTACCACAACAGTGTGAATAATGAATTTGAATCTGAATGTTTATTGTGGTTCATGGATGTAGTAATCATTGTTATTCTTTGATTGATCTTGGCTAACTGGAGATCACTTGTCTCAGATTGACTGACCAAGATGGGGCTGTCCTTTACCAAGCTTTTCAGTCGCCTTTTTGCCAAGAAAGAAATGCGCATTCTTATGGTTGGTCTCGATGCTGCTGGTAAAACCACAATTCTGTACAAGCTCAAGTTAGGTGAAATTGTCACGACCATTCCCACCATTGGTATGCTTCTGACTCAGAATGATCTCATAGTCTTCAACATTTATACATTCAAAAAACACTACTTTTTGGGGATACTGATTTGAAATATCAAATATGCAATTTTCCCTTTTTGTATCAATCTGAAATTATGTCTGTACTTTGTGTAGTCACTGTAAATCCATTCATGATATATCTAGAAGATCACAGTTGGTCAATATAACTTTTGTTTTCTGAATTAATAATCAAACAGAATCTATTAGATGTTGGCAGCCTCTGAGAGAATTTGTATTGAATTACTCCTATTTGTTAATGGTTTTATGGTGCACAATGTTGAAATGTCCAAAGTACTGTCTCTCTGGTGATTTGACCACTCTTGATGATATTTCTAGGTTTCAATGTGGAAACTGTTGAGTACAAGAATATCAGCTTTACGGTATGGGATGTCGGAGGTCAGGACAAGGTATGCGCTCAACCCATTTCCCTTGTTCCACCATGCCCTATTATCATTTATTAGTAATGTGGAAGGTAAACAGTTGTGCTTATGGGACGGTCAGGTGCTGATATGTTCTCCATCAGCACCTAACATAACTGTAAGCTACATTTAATTTCTGCCTGCTTGGTTTCTCTTCTCAAGTCTATTGTGAATAGAATCCCTTGCTATGGCTGACATGCTTAGGTAATTTTGCAAAAAAAGGAAACGCTTCTTTTGTATGTAATACTATAAACTGGTAAAATATTTAAAAGTATGACTGTGTATTTCATATGTCACATTGGGTGGTTGCAGATTCGGCCATTGTGGAGGCACTATTTCCAAAACACACAGGGTCTTATCTTTGTGGTTGACAGCAATGACAGAGACCGTGTTGTTGAAGCACGGGATGAGCTTCACAGGATGTTGAATGAGGTATCATTGTCATTTCCTGATCTCATGTCTGGTGATTCTATTAGAATATATTGAGTAAGCTTCAAATTGTGTTTATCCAAAACTCTTCTCTTGCAGGATGAATTAAGAGATGCTGTACTACTTGTTTTTGCTAACAAACAAGATCTCCCAAATGCAATGAATGCTGCAGAAATCACCGACAAGCTTGGTCTTCACTCTCTTCGACAGCGCCACTGGTAGATTTCATGAAAACCAACACATGCAACACCTTAGTAGCACTGCCCCCATCCTGAAGGTCTATAACTGGAATATAATATTTTTTTCCTTTTTCCCGTCGCAGGTATATCCAAAGCACATGTGCCACATCAGGGGAAGGGCTATATGAGGGATTAGATTGGCTTTCAAACAACATAGCAAACAAGGTGCGTTAATATTAGCCAGAGGGTGTTTTTGGTAGAAATGGAATAAATGTAATGTTAAGTTGGTTACTAGGGTTATTATTATTATTTAAAAATAGTGATCATTGATGGGTGATACGTTTGCAAATTGCACTCATTAGGAATGGATTATAATTGACACGCTTTATTACTTTTACCGCAGGGTTAGTGCAACTTCGGAATGGTTGCATCAGTTTTATCTCAAGTAATAGGTGTTGAACACCTTTTATCTCCATAAGTTGTAGGTTTTCGTGTTTTTGTTCAGCATTTAGATTGTGGGGAGAAATTCCCACCTTCATAAATAACGGTTTCTTGCTTTTTTCAGTATTTTGTATGAAATAACACCACATTGCAGTCCTATTAATTTGCTGTTACTGTGAACTCTGGTACTTTGTGTGATTCATATATACGCAATTAATGTATCACGACTTGGTTCTTCAAATGATTGGCAATAATCCCCTAAAAATTAGATTTTGTCGATTGATGCGCATGAATTAATAACTATTGAGGCATGGTATTGATATGGAAGATTTGAACATTCATTTACTCGAACATTCTTGTAATTCGTTTGTAATGGTACTTTAGTGCATTTTGTAAATATTAAAAAAAAAATAGTGTTGAAAGGATGGCAAGAATAATACTAATAGGCTTTTAGTTGACAAAAATGTGACTAAAACTCATTTGGAGAAAAAACTGATTTAGGGTTGGTTTGAAGCTGCTTTTAAAAAAGCATTTTTCAGTTTTTGGCTTTAAAAAAGCACTTATTTTCCCAAACATTACAATTTTTACTTTTCTCGTCTTCTGCGTCAAAAGTGCTTTTACTTTTTCTATTACACAAAAAACATTTATTTTACTAAACATTACTCACTTTTACTTTTCAAAATCACTTTTTTCTCAAACATTATCAATTTTTATTTAATCATTTCTCTCCATTTCATTAAAAAAGCACTTTTTTAAAAGCAGAAGCTGTTGCAAACAGACCCTTAGGCCCTTTCCACATCTTCCCATATCAAAAGCCCAAAATCATCCCAAAGCCTAAATTAGCATCTCCTCTCACCCTCAACCCTAGAGCTTGTGCAACTGACATGGAGCTGAAGACCCACAACCACTATTGAAGAGAAGCCGCCTTGCCGCTAAAGAGTCGTCGCCACCGTCTTTGTGAGAGTAGGGGTGGACTCGGGCCGGTCGGCCCGGCCCGGTCACTGTTTGGCCCGGCCCGGCCCGTGGCCCGGTGGGTCCACCGGTTCGGTTTGGCCCGGCCCGGGTGTTGGGCGGTCCGGGCTCGGGCCCGGCTTTTGGTGAACCGGCCCGGCCGGTTCGGGCCCGGTCCGGGACGGATTTTAATTTTTTTTTTTTTTTTGAATTTTTTTTAAGTTTTAGGTTGGATTAGGTATTTTGGGCCATTTGAGGTGGTTTGGGATGGTTTGGGGTTGAGGGGGAGGGGTAGGGGGTTTAATAGGAGAACCAAAAACCAAAAAAAAAAATGTGGGTCGGTTGGCCCGTCCCGACCCGGTTTGGCCCAGAACCGGCCACCGGCGGTTCGGGCTCGGGCCTAGATTTTCTGAACCGTGAACCGGCCGGGCCCAGGCCCGAACCGGCCCGAGCCCACCCCTATGTGAGAGTCGTTGCCACCGTTGCTATAAGCGCCACCGTCGCTATGAGAATCGCCGACGCCAAGTCGCCAACACCTCTTCTCTTAGGTCGTCGTGTCTACTGCGCTACGGCCGCGATAGCTGCGGTGGAGATGTCGACCCAGGTGGTCTTCGTCGTCGTATGAGCGGTCATATTCTGTTTGTCGATCGTCGAATGAAGGGGTAGTGGTGGGCGAGGGGATTTAGATCTGGATTTGTGATTGTTTTAGGGTACGTAATGGAAGGGGTAGTGGCGGCTGAGTGGCGAGGTGGTGGCGGTTGTGAGCTGGTGGCCGGAAATGGTGTGGGGGTTAGACAATGGTCGGATGGTGGTGGACTATGACGGGATGGTAGACTAATTGAGACACTTGGGTTGCCGGTAGAGTAAAATGATATGATGTGGTCGGCGGTAGACGGTGGCGGGGGGGTCACTAGAGGTCGTGACCGGTGATGGTGGTCGGCGGTGGACGGTGGTAGTCACTATAAAACTGGGTGGCGACGTCATTGTGGGGCAGTAAAGGCTAGGCTGGGAGATGGATGAGGGTGAGGTGGCGGTTGGATTTTTTTAGGCGGAATAGTCGCTGGAAAATATGTTGACGATCATAGAGACGCTCAAAAGTGACATACAAATCCGGCAATGACATATTATAGTAATACAGTGACATAAAAATCCGATACTGACATAAAAATTTTGCAATGCCATAAAATGGTGGTGATATCATGTTTTTCAAATAGGTGACCTTTTTAATCACATTTTTGTCATTTTGTAAAAATGGTCATATTTTTTTTTTAAATTAGCTTCAATTTGGTAATATTGAAGGGAAAAACCCACGCCAAGTCGATCTTCAAAGTAAATGTTTGTTGCATAACTCTACTACTTCGTAAGTCCGTAGAAGCTTTTGAATTCATCCTTTCATAACTTCTTGGATATTAAAAATGGAGTTAAAATACAGTCAAAAAATGGAGTTAAAGTAATATAAAATTAATTGTTCACATTAAGTAAATTTAATTAGCCCTTAGAAAATAAAATTTTGTATTTTGGAATGACTTGTAGAACCTGTTTGATAACTCATTTTCAGCTTACAGCCTTATCAGTCATTTTCACCAAATATATAACTTTTAATTCAACGCAAATATTTTTTTCACCAAATATATACGGGGTAACTTTTTCAAAATATTTTTATATAACTTTTTTTAATTAATAAAATATGTTTTTAATAGGGAGTATACTTTTTCTATTATTGTATTAATGAAATATGTTTCAAATATAATTTTTGGGATAAATGAGCAATAGTCTATTTTTAATGAGCATATGACCTATTGTATTGAGTACTAGTATTCCACCCGTGCATTGCACGGGGTGTAACATACAAACATAATAAATCTAAAACATCATTTTACCTCTAAATCAAATTATAGATTACATTATAATTTATCACGGGAATGAGAGTACCCTGATTTGATTGAAGCAAAAAAGGAAGAAGAATTGCTGAGAATGCACAATTTATGAGTATTCAGGATGGAGTTTCATTAGGCATATTGATTGTCATATAGTGTTCTTCTTCACCCTATTTCTCCCTCACCATTTTATTCTCCACTCATCTCTGTCTTCTCAGTCATTTCTCCATTGTCTTTCATATTATTTTTACAATTCCTACTCAACCAAATTACTTAATTTCAGATTCAATTGAGTATCTCCAATGTCTTTAACAGTTGCTTTAAACTCATTTTGGAAAAAAAAATGTGATTCACAGATGGGTTAAGACTGGTATTGAGCGTAATTCTCTCAGGAGAAGACCTCATATGTGGGACATCTAAAAACACTACTAGAATTTTCCTTATTTGCTGCTACCTATTTGCTGCGGTTCTTGGTTAAAACGCAACAAATAGACAAATTTTATACGTATTTGCTGCGGTTCTATTACAACCGCAGCAAATACATAGAAAATTTGATACTTTTTGCTGCGGTCGTATAAGAACCGCAGCAAATACTTAAAATATTCCGAATTTTAAATTTTCCATTTTGATCTCTTCGCTGAGGGCAAAATAGAACCGTATCAAATACCTTAAATTTCTCTTGTAATTGCTACGCTCGTTGGCTGAACCGCAGCAAATAAACCTTTGAAATCCCTTTTATCGTCTTTCTCTCTTCAATTATCAGATGCCCAAATCCCCAACAGTCCGCACCCACTAATCTCACCACGCCCTACCTCCTTGACCTCGCCACCCTGTCGTCTCACGCTTCCAGCGCCACCGCCACCGCCAACTATATGTGCGTCGTCGATAACACCACTGCAGCCGGCCATCACAATTTCTTGAAGCCATCGAGTTTGCATCAGTCATCCAGAGACAGAGGCCGAGCTATTCTTCAATTTCAAATCTGCGGTTTTGTTCTTTGATTTCAAATCTGCTAAGGTAAAACTCAAATCACATTTTTTGTTCAATTTATACTTAATTAGTTATGCTTTTAGAGTTGCTCTATTGCTTCGTTTTTTCAATCTTTTCAAAAACATAGCTTAAAGTATTTTCTTAAACATTTAAAAACAGTTTGGTTTTTTAAAATGTCAATTACAAATTGTGTTTTTGAACGGAGACTTACAAAACACAAATGGCTGCAAAGTTTTATATTGCAATCTTTACAAAACCATACAAAGCACACAACCTGTTTGTGAAATTGTCTAGATGAGAGTCTTTGTGTTTTCTGATTATTCATTACATACTTATTCATTTTAAGCTTTTTACTCTTGCAACTATGCACGAGAAAGTTAAAATTGATCGAAGGATGTATATTAGTGAACCATGAACCATTAGTGAAATACTCCATATACATTAGTGAACCATTAGACAATATAGTTTCTTAAAATTTCCCTTTTGATCTTGTGTAATATCAGTTGAGCTTTTTTAATTTAACATAGTGCTTTGGTGTTTTTTAAATCATCAATTTTAACTTCTGTAAAGGTAAAACCATAAAAGAGCATTTTTATTAAAACTAGAAGCACCAACACAAATCTTTATGGTAAACTAATTTTTAGAATGTTACCCAAACCCACTTGTGTTAATTTGTTTGTTAACATCGTAAATATATTCTAGATGTTTATGTTACTATCAAGTAGATATAATATATTTTGATTTCTTATTGATTATTATTTGCGATGTTGTTGTTTCATATTTCAACAGCATGTTTTAAATATAGTCTTTATTCTATAGGTTAAACTTGTTGAATTATTTAAAAGTAGTATGTAGTATATTTTTTTCTCTTTACTTCATCCACTTCAGCAACTTCAGTCTTCAGCCAACAAAAATGTCTTCTGTTTGGTAAAAGACCAGGTAAATAAAAAAATTAAGAAGTCCCCAAATGGGCATTTTAATTCTCAGTAGATAGAGATATATTTTAGTTAGCAATCAGACTCACATGCATTGTTGACAAAAGTGCACACAGATTTCCTTCTTCCCCATCAGCAACATCACTACACGTGGAGTGTTCAGCTTTCTATTGCGTGTGTGGGGGGGGGGGCAGAAATTTATATACATGAAAAGATATCTACAATATTATTATTTTAGTTTATAAAATCAAATGTCAGCCCATTGCCAAGTTACCATACCAGCTAGCAAGTAGTTCACGTCCAACCGGAGAGATTTGTACTTTTTCTAAAGGTAGAGTGAATCATAGGGTCAATTGGAACACATTTACTTCTGTATTAATTGAACTTTTTGTTATGTCCAGGTGGCATGCCAGAGTTTGGGTCCATTGAAATGCAGCGGCGCTATAGTTGGGATCAATACACAGGTTTGTCTTTTCCTTGGACAGTTAGGGATTTAGTAAAAGGGATAAAGAGCATAAACTATACATCATTTTGAAAAAGATAATACAGAAAGGTACCTAAACATGGAAGCAACTAAAGTAATAATATAGT